CTACATCTCTCCCTCCACCCACCCACCTACCTACCTACCTACCTACCTACCTACCTACCTACCTACATCTCTCTCTTTCTCTCTCTCCATCCACCTACCTACCTACATCTCTCTCTCCATCCACCCACCTACCTACCTACCTACCTACCTACCTACCTACCTACCTACCTATAAACACTAAGTGTGTGTGTGTGTATAGACACACACACATACACATTGTAAACCACCTAGAGAGTGCGGTAAACCGCTATGGGGTACTATATAAGTGCTGTTGCTAGTGCTATTGGTACCATCTGTTCAGTCATTATTTATGCTTGACAACAGCTGGATTCACCTACTGATCTATGATGGTTTTCTTGGGTTAGCATTAGGGTTCAGAAACCCGAATCCGGCAATGAATGACGCTCTCCATTTCTGACCTTGGCAGGGGTACCTACAGAGAAGAAAGCTGAGCCTCCTCCACCACCACCACCCCTTCCTCCCAACAAGCCCACCATTGCCAAAACCAGCGCCGCTCTCATCAAGGATTGCTGTGGGATGACCCAATGCGCCATCATGTAGCTCCGGCATTTCTCTCGGGCCACGCCTTCTGCTCGACCCACTTCCCCGTTGGCTGAAAAACAACAACAACAACTGGTGGGCGAAGGAATCAGGACATCAAGCACCCAGATATTCTTGATCATTGAATCTCCCGTTGTATTTCTTACAGTAACTTGTGTGCTATTCTTGGTGACTCCTTGGTGTTGCATGGACCTCTGCCAGCATGCCCTAGGTTAAGACGAGGAGTAGGCATTAACTATAACCAGAACACGGAGAAGAACTGTGAGGTGTAGGCATAGATGGGGGTGGGGGATGGCTTATGGTTTGCGGGTAACATCAGGGGCCGTCTGTTATGTCTAGAACTGCGTCCCCCCAGGATGGTAAGTCATCTCCATCAAAGGTAGGAAGACCAGCCAAGGTGAACTCTGTGCTTAGCATGCTGTATCGAATGTATCTGATCCGGCGTGGTGAACCATAGTCTGAATCCAGCCGATAGGTAAATTCCGCGTAGGAGTAGGATCAATTCTTAGTCTAACGCCAGCTCCGAAGTAGAAATAAACACATAGCCCTTTTAATGGTCTGCCGAGCACCGGATACGCCTCACACCTTCCTCCTTTTTAACAGGCGGTATTGGATTGGTGGGCGAACGGAGGCAAAACACCTTCCGGGTGGCTGGGTTGGGTCCTTTTTGCAATGACATGTGTGTTAATAAAAACGCTAAATAGAATAGCTAATAGCCTACCACGAAGCTGACACTCTGTTCTATTTCATTTCATTTCATTTCATTTTATTTGTCTTGTATGCCGCCCACTCCCGGAGGACTCCGGGCGGCTCACAAGACAAGGGAAGGGGGATAAATAGACAAAGAATTGTGGTTTGCGGTGCCTTCTTATCCGACCCACGGGATCTCCGTTCTGAACCAGCTCCCCAAACACAACCAACCCACCAAAGTTAACGCAATGATTTCCTTTATTAGGAGTGCCAGCAGCCCCGGCAAAAATTTTCTCTCTCTCACCGGCGCAGGCTAACAAGTCCATCCGGCAGGGAGATGAAGGGTTGTCTGTCACATCTACTCATCCCCGCCCCCTGTCTTTTATCCCCAGAGCTAGGGTGGGTGGGGCTTGTCAGTTTGTTGCATAAATTCAAATCCAGAAAGCACACACAGATCACTGATTCATCTGGATTCATTAACGTCTTTACACACATAAGAATAGATGAATAAATGTACAATACCAACAGGTGGTTCTTCCAAGTAAACACAAGGTAGAAGGGCTACAGGCAAGCACAAGCAAGTTAGTTTCATTTTAGCAGACAAGCCCAGACAGACTGCTAGTTTACTTCTCAGAGCAGCAGACTCCTTTCTTCTTAAGTTTCTGTTTCAATTCTCTGCACAAACTCAGATCTTTTTAAGCTCCCATTGGCTGACTTAGTTGCTATGCCTATTCATTGGCTGACCTTGTTCCCATGTCTCTCCCAGTCATGAATATTTTAACAAGGCTTCATTAACAGTGGTGGCTCTTCTGTCCTAAGGACCGGCCTATAGATTTCTACTACTCTCCTCTCCACTGCCTTCTGTGCATCCGTGTCAGGCACTGAACCCAGCTGTTCCTCCTCTTCCTCATCAGCCACCTTCAGACCTGGGGGCTGTTGACTCTCCATTGGAGGGCTGACGGACAGCCCAGGCTCCGCCTCTTGTCTCTCTCTCTCTCTTCCAGCTCCATTCCCTCTCCCCTCAGAGCTCTCAGGTTGTCTTACTGCTGACTCACGCCGCCTCCTCCTCTGATTCGGCTGCTTGAGGGACTGGCGTCCGACATGCCACAACAATAGCTTTTGTGCGAGGAACATTTATGAGTTGTGTTAAAGTCGCAAAAAGGGACCACACGATCTGGGGATGCTGCTACCATCATTAATATGAACCAGTTGCCAAGCATCCAAATCACGTGACCACGAGGATGCTGCAATGGTCGTTAAGTGTGAAAAATGGTCATAAGTAAAGGACTACCTGTACAATATATTTACTGGGAGAAAAAAAGAAACGCATAGCAAAGGTCATTTACTTGCTTGAAATTTTTATTGACAACTGCTTGGTCCCAAACGCACAACATTACCACTTGACCCACAAAAGTGCCCGAACAAATTAGACAAGTTTATATGCCGTATTGTCGCTCTTCACCCACCCAGAGTGCATAGTTGCCTTGATCGGTTTTGTTTCAGAACAGTAAAAGAAATCAAAAGGTCCAAAGTGTAAGTTAAAGAATTTCATAGCCTTAATTCATGTTCCAATCAGTTGCGTTTACATTATTTTTCTCAAGCCTTTTTTTTTCCCTTTAAAAAAAACAAACCTTCATTAAATAATCTCGTGCTACGGGAGAAATGACAACAACAAAAAAAATTCCCCCAAATTTATCCGTGTAACTTTCAAAGAGCAATTTGGTTCAGAATGCCACATGGAATTCATGTACGATGGGATCAACCTGGCCACATCTGTATTTCGAATACAGAACACTACTGGACTTTTGATTTCTCCATTTTGTTTTCCCCCCACCTCCAAAAAAAAACTTGGGTCTCACTTTTTTTTTTCCTTTTAAGATGACTTGCTCAGAACAGCAACTGGTTCTGCGAAGTAGAACAACCCAGAATGGAGTGACGGAGGCCTCTGTTTTATGCAGGTTATACATAAAGCTACAGAAAGATGGTCTCACAAATTCTCGAAACACTAGAGAGAAAGGAAATATATATCTATATATCTCGAACGATCTGTTCCTATAAACTCTAGGTCTCCGGAGGAACTGTGCCGTGTCTCAATCTACTGAGAAAAAAACCCGGAAAAAAAACCCCATAACTTCCAGTGTTTCCTTGTGTTCGTAATGGCTAAAAAATTCAGAAAGGTTCAACGTGTGGCTTTGTTTAAAACTCTTTTAAACGAAATCCATTATTTTATTTTTTTTAAAAAGTATCTTATAGCCATTTTAGTGGTATTTTCTCCCCCTCCTCCTTCAGTTGCTGGCTGTGAAACCCCCAGCCTGTTTTCTTTTTTTCCCCAACCTTGTCCATTATAAAATATAATTGTTTACAAATATATATATATATTTCCGCGTTTGGCCAGTGGGAAACCTCGGGATTCTTTTTTTTGTTTTCCTTTCGACAAAGCAGTGAAAAATATTTCTGTCCTGGCAAATACAACCCATTGTAAGTGCCAAGTTTACCCGGGCAGGGGTATAAAACTTTGGAAGACGTTTTTAATGTCTTTCTCTCTTTCTCTTTAAAAAGAAGACAAAAGGATCCCAACTGACTCAACCTCTTCGGTAAAGGCTGGTCCGTTTAAAAGCCAACAACCGCAACAAATCACAGCCACACCCCCACAAAAAAATACCGCAATAAGAACTGGAAGCAGCTTTTCAGCACTGGGAGGAATAAAAACCAGACACAGTTTTAAAAAAGAAACAACACGCTTTCCGGATGCGTACGACTAAACTTCCCAATTATTACACGTTTTTAAAAAAGTTTCGCAAACAAGGTTAGGCCACTAACCTTGGCCTTTCTAACCTCCGGCTCCCATTTCGGCACTGCGGAAGCATCATTTGCCTTTTTCTGCCTTAAAAAATAACCCCTTCCCGTCGCCTTGCGCAATCCATGATTTATGCATTTCGATGCATATTCTCCTGAAATCTCAACGGTGTGTCGTCCCGTCCCCCCCCCCACAACGGTCACCTCGAGGGAGGGGCGACTGAAGGTACCTCCAAAAAAACACGGCCCCGAGATGGTTCGCCCACCCCCCCTTGACCTCATCTCAAATCGGCATCCACCGGCAGCGCTTATAAAAGGGAAGCTTAAAAACCATTTCCTACACATTTCCTCAGCGGAACTGAACTATCACAAAGGCCTTTTAAAAAAGGGGGGGTTGGGTTTTTTTTTGGCAAGTCATCGGAAAAAAAGAAAAAAAACAATTCCCAAGTTTTGCCCTTAACGAAGCCTAAAGACCCCCAACNTAGAATGGAATAGAATGGAATAGAATGGAATATAATATAATATAATAGGATGGATGGATGGATGGATGGATGGATGGATGGGATGGGATAGAATAGAATGGATGGGATGGGATGGGATAGAATAGAATGGAATAGAATGGGTTGGATGGAACGGAATAGAATAGAATACAATGAATGGATGGGATGGGATGGGATGGGATAGAATAGAATGGAATAGAATGAATGGATAGGATGGGATGGAATAGAATGGAATGGAATAAAATAGAATAGAATGAATGAATGGATGGGATGGATGGGATGGGATGGGATGGGATGGAATGGGATGGAATGGGATGGAATGGATGGGATGGGATGGAATAGAATGGAATGGAATAGAATGGAATGGAATAGAATAGAATGGAATAGAATGGAATGGAATGGATTGGATGGAACGGAATAGAATAGAATAGAATAGAATATAACAGAACAGGTTTATTGGCCAAGTGTGATTGGACACAAGGAATTTTGAAGGAATTTTCTTCACATCCTGAAGAAAAGGGCAAACTGGGCAGTTAGCAGTCTGGCCTGGGATACTTTAATCTGCACTGATCCTAGCACTGGATTGGATGATCTCAATTCTAGGATGCTACCTAAAACAGCCTCTTCTTCTCCCATTTCTTAGGATGGACGACATCCAGTTGTGCAAAGACATCATGACTCTTAAGAAAGAGCTGCAGAATTTAGTCGCCATCTCAGGTAATTTACATTAGGAAAATGACTCCGATGTGTTGCAGGAACAACTGGAAACCATCCTAAAACCCATCCTGCTGGTGACCTTCTACCGCTGCACTGTAGAGAGTATTTTAACTTACTGCACCTGTGTCTGGTTTGCCAGTTGCACAGCGCTCCAGAGGGTCAACGTCATTGGTTGCCCCCTCCCCACTTTGGAAGAGCTTGATAGCTCCCGCTGCCTTAAGAAAGTTCAAGACATCCTTAAAGTTCCATCTCATCCTGGGCACCCTTTTTTTTTTAATTATTACCATCTGGCAGACGGTACAGGATAATAGATTGAAAAACAGCTTCTATCCCAGGGCAGTAACTATATTGAACTCTACTGCATAGTGCAATATTAATAAAATATTGGGGGGGGGGTTCAATTTCAATTATATGGCATGTGAAGAATATGTGTTTGTGTTTTTATTTTTATAGTTATAATGTACACTGAAGATGGCAGTTAATTTCATTGTACGAGGTGCAACGGCAATAAAGCTAGCTAACTAACTAACTAACTAACTAACTAACTAACTAACTAACTAACTAACTAACTAAC